TGCAGCCTACAACAGCATTACACACAAGGAAACACACACAAACACTCACACACACACACACACACACACACACACACACACACACACACACACCCTGAGATCTAGGAACAGCATTCAGCCAAGTATCTGGAACATTAAGTAGGCACTCAATAAATGTCTGTTTATTAAATAAATATCAATAAAAATCCACCCCCTGAAGGCAATTCCGAGAGCATCCCATTGAAGTTTAAGTAGAATAGGAAACTCATTGGATTTTATTCTACTTTTAATTAAAAATTTGATAAGTAATTTTATATAGTTCGGTAATATTTAATTTATACTTTCACTAGCATAATAATTTCCTAATGCCACACAAAACTTTTCCTTCCCCCTTGGGGCACTTTTTAAACAATATATATATCCACTGAAAGTAACAAGGAATGAGAGCACTGGTGTGGTCACGTTCATTACTTTTTGGGGAACAGGTCTAAATTCAACAAATCCAAGTGTGGATTCCTGACACTTTCCAGATCCCTACAAATCTACACTGAAGGGCACAAAGGCCTTTAGAGCAGATTATTTTCTTTAAGGCACTATGTTCTAAGAACATACATAAAGCAGATTAAACATGCAGTAAAGAAACTGGAGCAGTCCTGAAGAATTCAATTGAAAAAAAAAAAACAAGCTAGTGATTCCTTGTTTTCTATTTCTTGTACTGTATTGGCCAGTAAAACAAATTCTGACATAAAATTTTGAATTCAATCAACTCTGGGGATTGGTGTTAAATACATTTTCACATTTCATGGTCATGTCATCATTTATAAAAGTGTCTGTCTGTGAAAGGAAGCTGGCACACAGCCCTTCCACAATCCAGAAGTTATATCCTGTCTCCATTGTTCCTAGTATATGTATGTACAGATATATCTATAAACACCAATTCACGAATTTCAGATCACAGCTCATTTAAGCACTCGAGGTAGAGTAAGACGCAGGTGTCAGCCCTCCGTATTTCAAAGCTTGAAGATTAACCTAATACACAATATGGTGACCTAACAGTTCTTCATTTGAAGGAAATCTGAAAAATCATCTCTGATACAGACCAAGTGTGAGAATAACCCAGCGGGATTTCCACCTCTTCATTTCTTAATGAGTTTTTGATAATGAGAGGTGACTTTGCCAGTCACTCTGGGCTCTATTATGGCTAATTTGACTCCGCTTCACTCTCCTTGTTAATTATTAACACTAGCCTTTTTATCCTCATGAGACCACATTCCAATTTTTCCTTTTTCGATTTTTATGAGCCCATCTTTACGAAGGTGAAAGTCTTGGAGAATAGGTTTTCACTTAGTGCAGAGCTCGAACATTTATTATTCATTTAGGCAGAGACGCTGTGACATTGATTATATAAGCAGGGTGTTCTTCGGGATGGCTTTAATGTGCTAGCAATGTGAAAAGGCTGTTAATTAAAGAAGAAGCATCATGGTATTTTTCACTTGGGAATCAGTTCCCAAAAGAATGGTCATTTGCCACTTGCTAGCATATCCACAGATTAAAAGGTGACTAGCTCCAAGGGTTTTCCTTTCAGCCGTGCTGAAAGAAATGATTTGTGCCATTTGCAGATGGCTTTCATTTGTCAGAAGCGGTCACTTGCTATAGCTATATGGATAGGACAATTGTGGGAAATAGCACACAAGGGTGGAATCTATTTGTACTAGCTTTGTAGTTGTGCCGCACCATTTAAATGCGATGTTAATGGCTTCATTACGAAAACATTTATTATCCTTCAATTTTAATACATCTCCTTTTCAAAATCGTTCCCTTAGATACCATCTAAAGTGATTGCCCATCTAATTATCTCTTTAGTTGGGGAGAGTGTTTCAGGGTGGACGGTGGCAGCGGGGAGAGGCGAGTGGGAGCACAGTCTTTGGACAGCAATGGAGTCTGAGTTTGTTTTCATCCTCAGTCCTGCTCTGGGAATCAGTGGGTGAGTCTGTGAGGGGCGGGAGATCAGTTGCTAAAATGGTGGTGCAGCTGCTACTCTTCCCTTGAGGAAAACCACATTTTATCTCCGAGGGTTCTTAGGCTAAGACTTCCCCTAATCATGCCCGACTGTAAGGAAATATACAAGCCCCGGACAGGATTTTCCCCCACTTAAAACAGAAACTGAATTTGCTTCCTTGAATCCCTTTCCCCACTAATTAGTTCAGTCCCTGGAATTCTCATCATGGACATTTTGTAACGTACATGGGAAGACAATATATACCTTTATCTAGGCATTTTGGTACCCTTTAATCAACTCTCTTACTCTGCCCCACAACTCAAGGCCCTCACAAACATTTTCTGAGGTAAAAATAAAAGTTGAAGGAATCTACTATCTTTCTTCAAAAGATTATTTTATAAATGCCCCTAGAATCTGCTTTTGTTAACTGAAGACCATGTGATCAGGCTCCAATTCACCTCTGTCCTCAATTCCCCATCAGCAAGCCCCTGCCCAGGCATATTGCCTCTTAGGGATTTAGTTTCCTCAGCTGGAAAATACAGGGGTTTGTCTAATATCCCTTCCACTCTCTAAAATATAAAGACCTATTTTGAAACATCAAAGCATAAAGATTTTAATGAAAGAAAGATGAGGAACCACCAGTGGGACCATCTACATTCGTCATTAGAAAACAAAAACAACTCAGCTATAAAGTTTTCAAGGGACAAAAAAAGTACAAATCTAAACTAGTACCTCTATTAATGGGTTAGAAATTAGTAATTTCTATTTTGGAAAAGCAAACATAAGTATGTGATATTATTAATTAAAAAATCACAGCCATTTAAAATCTATGTATAATTAGTGGTATATCATGTGTGAGGTAACAGTGAGCACAGTTATTCAGCAAATTATCTCTGATTCCAACACTGGACATTTCAGAGCAATCTGTTCTTGTTGTCCCTGGTTAAAGTTATAATTAATTAGAATTTGGACTGTAACTCTAATTGTGTCACTGTGGTAAAAGCTGTCATGCCACGGCAGTGATGTAAGGATCTTCTTTCATTGGGGTTAGAAGGATAGAAGTTTTATATTTTCCCACAGGCTTTCCAAAGGACTATCAGTTGACATTTAACATTTGGACTGAATTCACTAAATTGCCACCTAAATATTTCAGGAGTTTAATAAACAAACACATCATTATTAACAATATTCTTCATTATTATCAAAGGTGATACTAAGAGCAAAAACAAATTATGTTTTCCCAACCTCTGAGATGTTACTCCGTGGTTTTTGGCTTTGGATGGTAAATTGTGAGTTTGGGAAGAAAGTCACTGCATTCTATCTCAATTCCCCAGACCACACCTTATTCCCAATACCAAGAGAGAATTATGGCACTGGGGAACTTTTCTATTTATCTCACTACACGAAGGAGCTCTTTTTCTATGAAGTAATGGATGTTTTCTAAAGTCTGTTCATCACCACAAAATCAAAGCCAAGATATACGCTTACCGCCAAAACTGATAATACTCAAAAGAGATCAGTAATAAATCCTCTGTGTTTTGATTGAGTAATGTATACCACAATAACAACAAAATAATACTTTATACATTGAAATAGAAGAGGAATATGAAACTTTTGAATTAAATATTTGCAAGTCTGACTGAAAATCAAATTTCTGTTATTCTCATTTTAATATTCTTTTTGATATAACTCTCATAAATTTACACTTGCAAGAGCTCTTCTTAAAAATAAATGTTAAAAGATGTTAATTCATTGGAGTTGTAGTACCGGTTCCCTAAAACTACTCATATTTCTAAGAAAGCTACAACATGTTTTGTTTTCTCTATAAATAGATTCTATATGTTGAATAAGTTAAATGATTCATCATCTTTACTAACTGTTTGACTGTCAACTTTAATAAATATTTTATCTTTGAACTCCAAAATACATCTAAATATGGTCAGCTCTTGAGTTTTCATGCTGATGGAGAAAAAGTGTTAGAAATAATCCTATACTAACATTCTCATTTAGGGACTTAACACATGACACATTTACTTACTTTTGGTGCAGGTTTATTGTTATACATTTGACTTAGGGTAATATTAAACCTGACTGGTCATTTCTTAGCAGAAAATGAATGATGGTAAGAGACTGGGAAATAAAGAAGGTCATTCAAAGTCTGCTAGCCAGCAGGAGGGAAGCAAATTGGAACTTAAAAACTGGCCGAGTATAATTTACAGAATGAATGATTCACATACTCATATAGATAACTGAATGTGGGTCTACCACCTTCTGAGAACAGATATTGTCATTAAATCGGAAGTAGAAATTGAAGACTTTTACCAAACTCGGGTTTAAGGGAAACTTTCAAAAGAATCATAAAAAGAAAGACCCAGGATTCTGAATGTTAAAAAATATCCCATAAAACCTGATGAAAAACTAGGTTTGCACTGCCTGCTAAAAGACCATGGACCAGAATAATTAATTGTACAAGTTATTGCATTGGAAAAAATAACTCAATACAGGACCTTTGCAAACTTTTAATTTTTTTAAATGCTGAGATAGCAAGCACTACCATATAGCAATATTACACTATCATCCGTAGAATCCCTCTCAGAAAAATAGTATCATAATAATGCATTTTAGTAGAAACCTTAGCATAGCATGATTTCTAGAATAATGATAAATTTCTAAGGTGTCTTTCAGAGATGTAAGTATTTTCATGTGCATTAGATATGTTAACCTTTGAAGATTTTTTGATTCAAAAAGTAGTGAGAAGGGGGCCTCTGTTATCAATCCTCAATGAAGGCAGTAGGTGGGAATAAGAGGAACTTCAGAGGCCTTGGAGCCATGCGGGAGTGTGGCTGGTCCAGCGCAGACCCTGGCCTGACCTCCTCCTCCTCAGGGAGGATGAGAAAATGTTAACATTATCTATGTTGAGTCTTGCTGAGCGAGTGTGAGAGCTCTGTAAATACACATTTGCACACACAACATTCTCCCACCCCTCCCTGTTTCACATACTGAAGAAAATGCAAGTGCTTACTGTCATTTCTGAGGAAATTATTGAGCAGTTGGAAAAGAGGGAAGCTATCCCAGGAGTCTTGTGGTTGAGCCTCCAGTGCAGTATCCATATCCACTGTGAATAAAGCCCAAAATTTCTCTGCATGCTCTGCCAATAAGTCGGGCCACCAGGCAAACGCCTGTGAAAAGACAAAGAAAAAAATGTAAAAGCAGATTATTTGTTACAAACACAAATACTGTGCCATTTGAATATGTGTAATTAAAAGAGCAAACGTAGTTAGAATTTTGTAGAGTATGAAACCAAATGTTTTAATATTTCTGTTTTGCAGAAAATCACAGTAGTCATGTTTAAATTATGATACAAAATTTTTTTCTTTTTGTTTTATATATGTTTCAAATGTTCTAAATTAAACACGTATTTTTAAAAATAAAGAAATAACTAGGTGGGCTGAGTGGCTCGTTGGTTAAGAGCTCGCTCAAGAGTTTGAGTTCTAAGCAACAGCAGTTCGATTCCTTGCCCGAGCTGAGCAGCCGCTGAGCTGCCAACCGGTGGCACGACGGCTCAGCTTAAAAAAAAAAAAAAAAAANGTAGGTTGTAGCCCCTGCTGCAGAGGGTTGCCATGGGCTACCGTGTGTAGCCAGCAGCCAGTGTGAGCAGCCGTCCAGAAGCTGACAACTGATCTGCCTCGCCTGGGAAGAGCACAATGATAACACCAACATGGGCCAGTGAAGCAACGTCCTCCACAACTAGACTGAAGAACAAGGACAACAACTTGTCTGTTCCCCTTCCCCCAATTCCCCAGCGCCGTTCCCATCCCCCAATTCCCCAATTAAAAAAATCTTAAAAAAAAGATGAAAAGAATACTACCCTTTAAAAATGAAACATAACTGTCAGCAAAACTGTTCTTTGAAAATGAAGGATTGTCATTTAGGTGTTGAGTTGAATGAGTGTTTGGTGGATTGGGGGAGGGGGGTTGTCACTTTGTGAGGGGTAAAAAGTATAACTCTTGCACTGTTTTGTACACCTGAAACTAACACAAAGAAAGAAAGAAAGGAAGGAAGAAAGAAATTTTAAAAGGGGGCAGAAAAGCTGAAGTGGAATAAGAGGTCCAAATTTCCAGGTATAAAACCAGTAAGTCATGGGGATGTAATGTACAGCATAGGGAATATAGTCAATCATATTGTGATAGTGTGGTGCAGTGTCAGATGGTTATCGGACTTATCATGGCGATCACTTTCTTAGCTATATAAACATTACATAACTGATGTACACCTGAAACTAATATAATATTGTATGTTAGCTATATTTTAATTAAAATCTTTTTTAAAAAATCAAGGAGAAACTTTTCCCAGACAAGGAAAAACTGAGCAAGTTTGTCACTATAACTGCCTTACAAAAAGTGCTAAAGGGAATTCTTCAAGTTGAAACAAAAGGATGCTAATGTACACAGCCACACAAATGTATATGAAAAGTATAAAACTCACTGTTTTAACTCTCGTATAAAATCCAAAAAGAGAAAAGTATTAATAATAACTACTACCACAAAAATTAGTTAATGGATACACCGTATAGAAGAAATAAATTGTCAATCAATAACATAATGCGTGTGTGAGGGAAATAAAAGTATAGGGTTTTTGTGTGTGATCGAATTCAAGCTGTTATCATTTAAAATAAGACGGTTACAAGCTCTGGAGTCCAGTTGAGAGGTAAGTCCTTACCTATCAATAATTACTCTACATGGAAATAGATTAAATTCCCCAATCAAAAGACACTGACTGACTGGATGAAACAACAAGATCCACCTATATGCTGCTTACAAGAGACGCACTTTGGGTTTAGGACACACATAGGTTGAAAGTGGAGAGATGGAAAAAAGATGTTCCGTGCAAATGGTAACCAAAAGAGAGCAGGGATGGCTATACTTACATCAGACAAAATAGTAAAAAACTGCCAGAATGAGACATAAAACATTCATTGCATAATGATAAAAGAGTTAATTCACCAGGAAGATAGAACAATTAAAAATGTGTATGCACCCAACAACAGAGCACCTAAATATATAATGCAAACATTGATAGATCTAAAGGGAGAAATAGCAACACAATTACAATCGGAGACTTCAATATCCCACTTTCAATAATGAATAGATTATCCAGACAAAAAATTAATAACACAACAGCAGACTTTAACAACTCTATAGGTCAAATGGACCTAACACACACACACACACACACACACACACACAAAATATTCCACCCAACAGCAGCAGAACACACATTCTCAAGCACACAACGAACATTCTCCAGGATAGATTACATGCTAAGTCACAATATAAGTCTTAACAAATTTATTAAGATTGAAGTTATCCTGACTATCTTTTCTAACAACAATGGGATAAAATTAGAAATAATTAACAAAAGGAAAACAGAAAAATTCACAAATACATGGAGGCTAAACAAGACACTCTTGAACAACTATTGGGTCAAAGAAGAAACAAAAAGGAAATAGAAAATATCTTGTGACAAACAAAAATTAAAATACAACATACCAAAACTTACAGGATGCAGTAAAAGCAGTATTAAGAGTTTATAGCAATAAACGCCTACAGTAAAAAAAAAGAAAGATCTCAATAAACAACCTAATGTTACATAAATAAATGAAATAGTGACTAGAAAAACAATAGAAAAGATCAATAAAACTAAGAGTTGGTTTTTTAAAAGGTAAACAATATCAACAAACCTTTAGTTAGACTAAGAAAAAAAAAGAGACAAGGCTCAAATAAATAAAATCATAATTGGAAGAGGAGACATTACAACCGATGCTACAGAAATAAAGATCATAAAATATTCTTATGAAAATTCCTCTACAGCTAAGATGTGAACAACAGTTCGACCTGTAGCTGGGCTGCCATGAGTCACTGGCGATGGTGTAGGCTGCAGCGGGGCTGCAGTGAGCTGCTGTAAGCTACTGTGAGTGGCCGGCAGCCGGTGTGAGCTGTCGTGAGCCGCCGTGAGCGGCCGTCCAATGGCCAGCGACCAATTACCTCATCCAGGAAGAGCCTAATGATCACAATACCAACAGGGGCCAGTGAAACCGTGTCCTCCACAACTAGACTGAAGAACAAAAGGAAAGCAACTTCTCGGTTCCCCTTCCCCGATTCCCCAATGCTGTTCCCTCTCCCAATTACCCAATAAAATCTTAAAAAAAAAAAAAAACTTAAAAAAAAATAAAATAAAAATAAATGACTGCCATTTTACATTTTAATTCTATTTTAGATTTCACTTTTATTCATCAATGCCAAATTTGCTTATCATTAAATATGTATATCTATAAAATTTCTTCTTACATTTAAAAATTACTTTTTATTTGTAGTACATTTTTCATAAATCTAAGGTCTAAAGCTAAAACAACTTTCATTGAAAGATTTCCTGAGCATCCAGTGTGAATTAAGTCCTCCTAGATAGTCTCTCTGATACCCAGTATTTTTATTTCACAGGTCTTACTTAGCATGGCATATATGACTACATATGTGAATATTTTAATGTCTGCCTCTTAAATTAGACTTTATACTCAACTAGGTATTTTCTAATGCCTCATATAGATAATAGCAATAATCACCTAAAAAATCCCAGAAAACCTCTGTTTAGAAGGGTGAAAATAGTATTTACTTTTAAGAAAGTTCTTGAAAATATTATAGCCTCATTAAGGGCCATGGCACCAAGCCTGCCTGCCCATGAAACCCGGCAGCAGGCCCACCAGCCTGTGGTCCTCAGCGTCCAGGCCTTCCTGCCCCTCCAGAAACTCTGGCTGGGCTGACTGGTGAAGGGTTTTCCCTGTAGAAGCAAGTCTGTAAAGACTGGAAGAAGAGGTGACTATTTCTTCCAATGTGCAGAAACCAGTGCAAGGCTACAAGGATCATGAAGAATCAAAGAAACACAATACCAACAAAGAAACAAAATAAAGTTCCACTAAGCAATCACAAAGAAATGGAGATCTATGAATTGCTTCAAAGAATAAAAACAAATCATCTTAAGCTCAGTAGGCTACAGGAGAATACAGATAGACAACTAAATAAATCAGAAAAAATGAGAAGTTCAACAAAGAGACAGAAACCATAAAAAAGAACCAAGCAAGTGTTCTTGAGCTGAAGAATACACTGACTGAAAAATTCGACTGACAGCTTCAACAGCAGACTTAAGCAAGCAGAATAAAGAATAAATGAATTTGAAAACAAATAATTTGAAGTTATCAAGTTATAATAATCAAAAGAAAAAATGAAATGAAAAAAGCGTGAAGAAAGCCTGTGGGACTTATGGGACATCGCTGAGCAAACAAATGATATCTATTATGGCAATGCCAGAAAAAGAAGAGAAAGAGTAAGAGGCAGAAAGCTTATTTAAAAAAATAATGGCTGAAAACTCCCTAAATTTTGAGAGGGAAACAAACAATCAGATTCATAAGCCCAAAGGACACCAAATGGCTTGACTTAAAGAGGTCTACACTGAGAACATTATAATTAAACTACAAAACGTCGAAGACAAAGAGAGAATTTTGAAAGCATCAAGAGAAAAGTGACTCATCAGATACAAGGGGACCCTCTTGCTCTCCCCACTCCATAAGGCTATGAGATGATTTCTCAGCAGAAATCTTGGAGGTTTGGGCAGAAGTGGTAAGATATACACAAAATGCTAAAGAAAAAACTGCCAACCAAGAATACTATCCTTTGGGCCAGCTGAGTGGCACGTTGGTTAAGAGCTGGCTTGGGATGCCAGAGGGCCCCAGTTCGGATCCCACATATGAGGGCCAGTCACACTGCCCTCTACAGCTAAGATGCTGAACAACAGCTCAACCTGGAGCTGAGCTGCCGTGAGTCGCCAGCGATGGCGTAGGTTGTAGCCCCTGCTGCAGAGGGTTGCCATGGGCTACCGTGTGTAGCCAGCAGCCAGTGTGAGCAGCCGTCCAGAAGCTGACAACTGATCTGCCTCGCCTGGGAAGAGCACAATGATAACACCAACATGGGCCAGTGAAGCAACGTCCTCCACAACTAGACTGAAGAACAAGGACAACAACTTGTCTGTTCCCCTTCCCCCAATTCCCCAGCGCCGTTCCCATCCCCCAATTCCCCAATTAAAAAAATCTTAAAAAAAAGATGAAAAGAATACTACCCTTTAAAAATGA